CATAGTCGCAAAAGCACAATGATGACCGGGACAGATATTTTCCTCTTTTGATTATAAAGATTGTTTTGTAAAGATTTTTTTTTTAAAATATATATTTATATTTATATTTTTTAAAATTTATTTTTGATTTTAAGACATCACACCGATCTAAAAATATACAAAAAATTAATTTAAAATTAAGAAGAAAAAAAAACAGCAGTATCTTATTCCAATGTTAGCTCCACCGGTAATAAATAATAATGATGAGGGAGCAGAAAAACACCCTCTCTCTCTCTCTCTCTCTCTCTCCCTCTCTGATATGTAGACACACACGAAATTGATGATACCTAGACTTTATGCACTCAATAATTGAATACTTGAAGAAAAAATATCGAATACTCGTACCTCAAACTCAGGCCTCTTCTAAGGAAAAAGAAAAGAAAAGAAAGGCAAATAGAAGGCTACTCTTTCTAGCTCAACATCCTATACGTTGCGATTGCTGGCTCCAAAAAGATTCTGTATGCTGTAAAATGTACTCGGTGGATTCTACGCGAAAGCAAAGATGGAGTTTACACAGAGGAAAAGGGAAAAGAAAAGGGCAGGCAATGATGGAAGGGCATCATTGTCATCCTGTCAAGAAGCTGCTCCTATTATCATAAATAAGAGCAATTAAATCACTGTTATAGAGAAAAAGGTGGAGTCAAGCTAAGGTTGCCTCCACACTCCTAGGACAGATGGCCACCGCGAAAACTACACAACCGGATAATTTCAACCTCCCACTGTATGCTTCTGGCCGCATGATGACCCTCTTTATCCCTATTTCTTTCTTCTTCTTCTTCTTGCAACTCTTGTTGATGTCAGATTAATCTAAGATTTAAATAAAAAAAAAGAAAAAGAAAAGAAAAGGGAAGCAGAGTGTGGAATGCATATGATCCACACCTTGCAGGTTTTATTGGGCCCTCTATTCTAGATGCAATTATCTTACCTGCCTATGCATCCTATCCCTAGTAGCTCTTTTTTTTTTCGTTCTTAATTCATTATTATCTCATTTCGCAGCATGTATTCACGATGTTATCTTGTAACGTTGATGCTCCAATGATGCAGAGGAGGGAGGAGAGGACGAGTCACTAGTGGCATCGAATTCCTTTAAAAACTTTAACAATACGGATTCAAATAAATGATTTTGTTAAAAATGATCGGTAATAACAAATGTTTTTCTGTGATGGATGGAATCTTTTCCCTTTTCTTTTTTATTTAAGCAAGTTGAATCTCTCGAATACTAGTCAGTAGGCAGTGATCTACGGAGGCTGGTGCTAGATACACACACACAGACACAAATTAGGCTACATTATCTACTTAATCATTTGAGCACAAAATCTCCCTCGATCAACGGTTGAAATTGGCTGGATGGAGAATGTCCCTGACGATAACATGTTTACGTGTGGACAGCTTTCTTCGCAAGAAGATGATGGGCCACGCACACGTTATATTGACATGACTGAAGAGCTTGCGATTCAATGGGTTTCTAGACATGCCATGTATGGGTCAGGGGGGATCGATATACCTGCTTTTGTTTTTCATGCACTAATATTGTAATGTTTTCTTTCTTAATACTGTTGCCCATTAGGATGGTTTGGCCTTTGTGTCTCCCATATCAATCAATTCCACTCATAGCAGCTTGATAGATGAAAAAAATAACCTGCTTAAACCGATACTCCCTTCTACATGCACCCCTATGAAGGATTGTTTCTCTACCCACTTGTGCATAAGCGTGCATTTTTATCTAAGTGTATGTATGCAAGTACGAGGGTCTCCCCTGTGAGGGGAGCAAGGATAAGAAAATGGAGCTTGGGTCAACTCATAAAGGAAGAAGAAGGGGACTTGACATGATGATACACGAAGAGAGGACCCCATAATCGTATTTAAGTCCATACCTTATTCCTTGGGTCTAGTTCCTAGAGCCCATTACCATTCATTGACTAACATTCGATGGCGAGAGGGTACAGCTACAAGGGTTTTAATTACTTGCCTTGCTTTGTAGTTCAACTAGGCAAAACCCACTTCAGGATTCCTTCCCACTATAGGTGCCTTTTCTCCCCGGGAAAAGGGAGTCTTCTGCAAATTATAGATCTATTACTAGCAAACTACTATCAACCAAGCTTTTATAGTAGCAATACACCAGTAGTGTGCTCCTGGCTGTGTAGGCTTTATAAATGGGTTATCGAATGAAAGTCATGGGGCAGGAGGTGCTTCACTTTTCATGATTATGATTTTGATCTAGAACTTGCATGCCAATATGGTTGAGCCTTTACCTCATCATGTCCTAACGGGAGCACACCACGTGTTAAGAATCCAGTGGTTGCAACCTCAATAAAGATTGTGAAGAGATGCTACAGCAACATGATTTTTGACAGGTGACATGCTTGTTGACACTGACCAGGAGCGACTTAACCTCCTTCGTCTGTCCTGGTCAATTTGCATGTAAAAATAAAAAATAGACCTTGAATTTTGCCAAGAGAACTGACTTGAGTGGTCTTAGATTTGGGCACTTAGCTGTGCACTTAAATGGCCCGAGACCCATCATAAAATTTTGCAAATCATCATGTAATTGTTAATTCATCATCCGCTCCTGGCTTAGTTAAGAAGAACCCAGTTTTTTCATTTGGTCCCCAGTCTCCTTTTCAGGCCATGGTGTGCTGTGACAAATTTGGACACCTGTGCATATCCCTTTCTCTCTGAAAATAAACAAACAGAAAGTCGCTATAAAATCTGGTCGGCATTCCAGCTGCAAAAAGGTCCGCTCCCCGCCATTCCCCACGCTGCCTTGTTCTAACCAAGGAGGAGAAGCCAGAGTAGTTAGTGCAGAGCTGCCAAGGAAAGTATAGCTCATGCTTAAGAATTAGCTTCAAGGTTCAGGCGGTCCAAGTATGACATGAACTCTAAGCTGAAAAACTGGTTTTAGAAGTGATGCTCTGCGTTGTGGTTCCATTTTGATCTGAGAAAAATATAATGATTTCACAGAAGTAGTAAAAGATCTACCCTTTTCCTTGGCTAGAGGAATAGGGTTGGCGACGGGATTTCCAAACTGGGCAGAGCCTGGGTTGAAAAAGAGGCTTAAAACCCAATCAAGATCTCGTGTAGGTTAATAGGTCCCCATTATTAATCCTTTATATAAGTTGTAAAAGTAGGGTTTAAGAGCTGAAATCCTATAATTAAAGCGTTTGCGGTTAGTTGGTCCTTTTAGGTCTACGGACCCCAGCCGATTTTTCTTCCTTTTTCTTGAACCGAGGAGGCCACAGCATCATGTCTCCACTGCAGTCCTGGAAATGAAGAAAGAAAAGAAGTTAAAAAAGGAAAAACAAAAGGGAAAATGTTTGGGCTGGACTGGAGAGATCTTGCTGGGCCCATTTTTCCTACAATATAATATATAGAAAATAATGCATTGCAAAACAAAACAGACACGCCCAGTGGGACTCGAACCCACAATCGCCTGATTAGAAGTCAGACGCCTTATCCATTAGGCCATGGGCGCTGACTAATGATGCCCAAGTATAAATATTAATTAATATATTCTGATGATAAAAAATTAATTTTCAACTACATAAAAAATCACATGCGAAAGGAGAAAACACTTGAAGATTTCGTGATTTACTAGAAGAATAATGTCATAAATATACATAAGCATGTGTGGGAGTTATTTTCGGGTGATTAATCATTTTGGTGGAGTAAATTATAACTTACTCTTTATATGCCATTTTCCCACCTTTTGTCCCAAACTTAATGGCCGAAGGCAGTGCTATTAAATCAAGTTTGAATGGTCACATCGGTGGCTAAAATTACCAAATTATTTTAAGACACAAAATAATGCACTTTATTGCCATTGTAGTCGAGTTGAGTAAGGGTTAATTTACCAATCCTACACTTATCCATGTAAATTATCTAACGATAACAACTTCACTCTCGTTTCATTATCATCACTTCTACTATAAACACCGACTTATCACACCTAAAAAACTTCGCACATTGACTATATTGGTTTGATGTCTAGCTTCCTACTGGTCCAGCCACAAACCCTTACAAGCAATCTCATCCAAGAGATCATCAACATCATATAAAGAATCTTTGAGGTTGTTAAGCCTTACCACGTTTATACCATAAAACGGACTCTAACTAATCAAGAATCCATGTAGATAGGTGACTTGGTTTTTCTGAGGGTTTATTTTAAAGTGCGGTAGATATAGTTTTTTAAAGTGTTTAATCTTTAAAAATATATCAAAATAATATATATTTTTGAATTTATTTTTTATATAAACACAGTAAAATGTTAAAAAATATTAAAAAAAATAATTTAAAAAAATGGTTGGATCAGAGTGCCAAACAAGATAACAATATAAAAAGATGCGTTAAAAAATCAAAACATATTCATAGCTAATAAATTTATCATGGTGTGACGAAGATGAGTTTATTGCGAAGATAAGGATAAATGGGTGATTATTTGTCGGGGCACTTATTGATCTAGATTTTAAGAAATAGCGCATGAATAGGCATGTAAAGAGATAATTCAGGCATCCTATAATTAATACGACAGTAAACATGTTCCTTTTTTTTCTAAGTAATTTATTACAAATAGTTTAATCCACTCCATTTAGATATTTTATGAACGTGAAGTCCATCTTATCTTCACGTATGTGATTAGAATGGACAAATCAGTCATTTGATCCAACTGATTTTCTGACACCAAGCACTCCTCCAATCCTAAATTTCTAAATGCAAAGTCGAGGAAGAGAAGTCCCTAATGATGTCTGGTGCCTGACAACTGGAATAAGTTTGCCGGGTTAGTCTCCGAAGTCTAAAGTATGCATTCCAATAAATTTGACACTCATGTTTCGGTTGAAAATCAGGTAAAAATATCAAGATCATTCATCAAAAGATAGCATGAGTGACAGCCTTGTCCTATTATTTGTAATTTGAGATGTATATTCAGCCTTGTCCTGAATCAAACGCTATATATATGGCACCAATTGAAAAGGTATGCATGTATTTCCCAGGTCTTTCAATATTCTCAAAGTAAATGCTGAATCCATAAGCTTTCACTTCCAACTACACGAGTGATGCAGCCTTTTCCTACGTTTAGTGTATGTCAAGGGACACAATGCTACGATTCTACAGGCAGGTAGAACTGAATGGCTGCTCAAGGAAGACTGGCATTCAATTGTACACGGTTCTGTCTATCGTTACAGAATTGGCAGCAGATATGGATGTGTCACGAGCATATCAGAGTGCATAAATCCTGTGTCCTTTCTTGAGAAATGTTGGTGAAGGGGAAAACTCTGAAGTTCCCATTACCCATGCAGGTCAACGTCAACTCTTTGTCACTTCCCATGGTCTGCAATTACAATTTGATCGGCATTAGCATGGGTTGAAAAGCATGCAAATCTAAAAAACTAACTGATGAGAATTCAGTTCTAATTGACATGGAAGAAGAAATTTAAGTTAACAGGATGCCCTGCTTGTTTAAGCCCTGCCTGATTCAAGATTGTGTTGAACAGAATCATCTGTTGTCATTGAAAGCGACTTTTTCAGCAGTTTGTATCTATGCCTTAATCGAATATCGTGAAGATCTAATAAAATCAATTCTTTAGCTCTGATTTTATTTTGTTTGGCAAATCAGTTCTGTCCATAAAACTCAGTTATCTGAAGCGAACTAGTTATACAGAGTGCCTTTGAACACAATTAAAATATTTCCTTTTTCCACGTCCATTTCATTCCTCTACCTCTAATAACCAATCCTCTTTATGCTTGCTGGTCTGTCATAAGGAATGAGAACTTGAAAACTCCAATTTACACAGCATTTTCAGTTTTGGATTCTTCTTTCACGTGCCTGAGCAATCAATAGTTTTTTCAAATAAATCAAAATTATACCTCACAAGATGACGTTAGGTCATTGCAACTCCACCTTTTGTAAGGAATGCAGTCTATGTATCTACACCACCTGCAATAATGGCTTATATTGATGCCTAGGAGTACAGCCACAAGAAGTCCCACAAAGCTGTGTATAAAAGATTCTCCTCTTAGTCTCACAGAATATAAAGTTGACAAGCAATATAAGAGAACTTGATGTACAAAGAAGAAAAACTCACAGCAGAGAGAAAAGGATCAGGGAAGCACTCCTCAGCACAGGCCTGTCCAGCTTCTGCTTCCAGTTAAATGAACTTTTGACGCTGTCACCTATTTTTTTTTGAGCCACTTGCCAAATTTGAGGGGTGTAAAAAAGCACAAGTCCAAGTAGAAATCCTGATATCAGACTTCCAATGCTTGAATAGTTGTCCATGTAAGGTAGCAAGCCAAGCATTAAATTGAATCCAGCCACAAAGAAAAGCGTCAGCAGAGCTGCACCCTGAGATAAAAGAGAGGAGGGACCGGTAAGCTGGTCGTCAAAATTAGCGGAAAGAGATAGAAGTGGAGGATGTGAAAAGAATGAGCATTACCTTATTGGTGTAGAATCTCCAGTTCCTTGTAAGTGCAGAAACTGCAGCCCCTAGTAAGCCAAAAAGAGCACCGGAGGAACAAACTGCTGGACTATCTCTGACAAAAATTGCAGTTAACAAGGTACCAGAAAAAGCAGACAGCATGTAGATTATCCCAGTTCTTACTGCACAGAAGAAACATACAGCGATAATAAAAATCACCATCCCAAGTCCAACTGTAAATCTAGCAACATAGTTGAGTGCCCAGAGAAAATTAGAATCACACGATTACTTGATCCAAACTCTTTCTCCAGGTAAATTCCTATAAAGATAATGCACAGAAGGTTGATCATAAAGTGGAAGACACCAGCATGCAATAATGGGCACATAAAGAGACGCCAAGTTTGATGTTCTGCCAGCAATGTCTTGCGAATAGCCCCCATTTTATCCAGACTGTAAAAGAACGAGCACAATTTCAGAAAATGATATTACACATAACGTTGAATCTTTTGAAGAACTGAAACAATGACGTTAGAGTTAATCAGAGATATATCCTTCCAATTACTTGGTGAGAAAAACACATTAGGAACCATAAGACGCATAATAAAGCACCAGCTTAAAAATTATCCCAGTTATCAAATATAAGCATCAATATAAAATGGGGCAGATGGACAAAACATCAAGAGACATCCTTTTAATTACTCGGAGACAGTAACAATTTTTTGATATCCTTTACTGATATTTCAGAAGCACCTTTCTTCAGTTTTATCCACAACCGCATTTTGCTTCCAATAAACAGGTCTAGACATTCTCAACCATGGAGAGAAAATGGTCCTAGAATCACCTTTCAAACAATTTATCAATTACTGAAGTGGAAAATGATAGAAAGCTACATGCTTAAATTGGAAAACACACAAGTCTGTTTTGGCATGCACTTGAAGGCAATGATAGTTAAGTGAATATTCTGCTTCGGACTTTTCTCTTGTACTCTTAAGAAAAAACCGCATTCGCCACTGGAAGGGGTGCTGTTTATGTCCTTTGACAAATGATTGCCAATTAGGTTTAACAAGTGGAAACCAAAGCCACATTAACCAGAAAAGAAAAGGGATGCCAAAGCAAACAAATAAGCACCAAGCCCCACAAAAACAGAAATCAACTATAACCATCATCAATTTTGACACAAAAAAGAAGACCTAACTACATATCCTCTCCTCTGATAAACAGGTCGATGCATTCTCATACACACAGAAAATATGGTCCTAGAATCACCTTCCAAAGAATTATTCAATCATAGAAGCTGAAAAAGATAAAAGGTAAAAGCTTTAATGTCTATTAACCAACCATTCTACAAAGCAGCATTTCCAAAATACTAAAAAGAATTTGCATTAACATTTGACAACGCTAATTCATCGGTGCGTGATCACGAATTGAGATGGATCCATTTTCAATAGTTACAGCAATTAAGAATATAAAACAAGATAAAATGTCAGAAATCATAATAACAGAAGCTAACAGAGCCCAATTTTCAAGCGAGAAACACAGAAAGACCAGGAAAGGGAGAAAAGTGCTCACGCGGAGGCAGAGGGACCAAGAAAAGGGTTTTCAAGAAGAGGCTGAAACGACATTCTCCCCAGGGCCTTGAAGGCGCAGTCGCCGTGAGAGTTATAGCCACAATCATTGACGGCCATTGTGATAAGAAAGACTACCGAGTGGATGATAACGAATGCAAAAATGACACAGGTGTCTCTTCTTCTCCTACGAGAACGGGGTTTAAAGAATGGGGTCTTGTTTTCATCTTGAAGAAATTCTGTTCGGAAATCGAAAGAGAATGTGGTTTCTTGATGATCTTGAATTGGGTCTGCAATGCTGATCTTGGTATCATCTTCTTTTTCTTCCATTTTTCTTCTATAGCGAAGACTGAGTGATTTTCTTGGTTTTATGAGTTATAACCGAAACAAAGCGTTTAAAAGAGACTTCGTTATGGCAGTTGGGTTTGGCGGGAAGCATGTACAGTTTAGATCAAATCTAAGATATATTAATCTATTTGTTGAGACAGTTCTTAACCAGTGGATCCGTGGCGCAATGGTAGCGCGTCTGACTCCAGATCAGAAGGTTGCGTGTTCGATTCACGTCGGGTTCAATTCCCCTTTTATTTTCCTAAATTATATTAATATCGTGGTGAGTGGTAAAAAATTAGGTTAGCAGATTATTTTTTTTCCAAGGCCAGCAAGCACTCTGATACGGGGGGGTATTTGGAAGTATGGTATAAATTATTTTTTAAAGTGTTTTTATTAAAAAATATATTAAATTAATATTTTGTATTTAAAAAATAAATATTTTTAATTCTAGTAAATTAAAACGATTTGAAAATATAAAAAAATTATTTTAAAGTAAAAAAAATTAATTTTTTAAAAAAATAGTTTTAAAGCATAAAATAAAAGGGATTTTTTAAACAGCTCTCAGTGATATCTTCAGTTTTGAAATGTATTTAAGAACACACAAATACAGATACTGCAGCCCCACCTTAATATTTTGTGCTGTGTTGTTGCTGAAATTTTTCATCAGCTAGTTATGTTGACCATCTACAAATGCAAGGACTAGTTACGCAATACCTATATTTTTCCATCAGATCTCTGGGGCTCCATCAAAGATTAAATTTCTCTAGATAGTTCGGGATACAAGGAGATTTTAATTGATCTTTTAAAATTTGAGAACCAAATGGTTTTCAAAACTAAATTGCATAAGTGGCTAGATGCAAACAATAGCTGGAAGGAGTAATGATTCTCACCACAATCCCCCCTCTCTGTCAATAGAGAGAAAGATTTTATGTTTTTCAAATGTAAGTAGTATGAAAGGTAAAAATGAGATGTAATATCTTCTCATAAAATATTTTATATAAAAAAATATTTTTTAATATTTAGTTTGTAAAATATTTTTTTTAATGAAGATAGAAACGGTGATAGCAAAGTAAAGATAATAACACAAGTATGATAATAGTAAAAACAACAAAAGATAATGGTTAAAAGAAATATGAAGAAATGGTCATCATAATTAAATGGTCATAATGATAGTAAAATAAAACGTGGTTGTAAGATGGTAGTTGTGATAGAAAAAAATAAGATGGTTGTGAGATGATAGCTGTAATAGAGGAGATGATAATGAGATAATAATAATGTTGGTGAAAGAAAAAGAAATAAAAATGGTTGTGGTGATGATAGTGATGATAAAATAAAAATAATGGTTGAAATAATTGAATGATATTGTAAATAAATTACTATTTATAAAATATTTAACAGAACTTAAGGGTTAAAAATCTTACCATATAAAAATAGAGTGTTTATAGAAAAAACATATTTTAATGATGACTTCTTCAAAGTGAATATAATTACTATTGTAACTATGAATGTGAAGAAAAATAACATTAATGTCTATTTTTCTTTCTCGTTGGTAACATGTGATATGACATGTTAAGTAATGTGAATTATAATTATATATAAGGGTTAATAAATCTTAATTTATTATCTTATATTATTTTTAAGAAAAATAATAAGTGTGATGTTGTATAGAATCAAGACTTATAAAAACTTCTTTTCATTTAATTAAAAAAAGTAATAAACCTCTAAATTTCATTCACTTGGATATTAATAATTTAAAATTTGTTCAAACTAAAGGTGAGAAAAAAATATTATATTATTTGTATACATAATTGCACAAGTTATTATTATAATTATCTGCGTAAAAGCAAAAACGAGGCTCTTACGATATTTAAATATTATAATAATGAAGTTGAAAATTAACTTGATAAGAAAATAAGGTAATAAAAAGTGATAAATATTGAGAATTCAAAGCACCATTTGATAAATTGTCCTTCTAAAATGATATTATCTATTAAATTACTGCTCGTTTTCATGTTACTAGATGATATTGTATAATGTTATAATTGAACTTTAAAATAAATAATAAATGTCATGTCGATAAATTAAGGATCACCTTAAAATTTGTGTGGAGAAACAATTTTAATTGTAAATTATATATTTAATAAAGTAGATATCATGGAAAGGTAGAAACCCTTCACACAAATACTTCAAAATATAAAAATATATCAAAAAGATAGGTAATGATACTTATCCTAAAAGGGTTAATAAAGGATCTAAAACTATATATTATGTATTAATTGGATTTGCTTACAATAATAATGCATATTCATTTATAGCACACAAGACAAGTATTAAGAATTTTCACAATGATATCATTTTTAAAAGGATTAATAAAGAATCCAAAATTATATATTATATATTTATTAGATATGCTTAGAATAATAACACATATTCATTTACAGCACACAAGATAATTATTAAGAATATTCATAATGATATCATTTTTCAAATATATATTTTTATGGAAGGAAACACAAAAAAAAATATTCATTTGAAAGAATGATAGAAACTAGTTTAAATAATCATCATTAATCAAATGATAATAAAATCAAGTATAGAACAAGAAAAAAAGTAAAACAATAATCAAAATATATAATTTTAATTTTTTAACATGCTTATTAAAAAATAAATCTCGAATATATTCAAGAAAATGCCCGGTTGTAGAGTTTCATATTAAAAAAAAAAACAATCAATAATGAAATAAAATTCATTATACATTGTCATATATTAGAACTAGTGAATATTCCTCTATTAGGATATAAATGGAAATTCAAATAAAGATGAAAGCTCATGGTATTAATCATCAATATAAAGTTAGATTTGTTGTTAATATATTTAAATTAAAAAATATAAATTATTTTAATATATATTTATTTATATTAAGAATAATTTTTATATGAATGTTAATAATTATCTTAATAATGAATAAACTTAAAATATATTAAATAGATATAAAAATAATTTTTAATGATCTAAACGAAGAGTTTTATATAAAACAACCTAGATTTATTATTAATGTAAAGAAAAAAAACTATTTTTAGCATATACTTTAATTATATTATAATAATTCTCAGTCTAAAGAGGAACTATTTTTCCCGTTTCTTTTTATTGCCAGACTTCGTAAGTTTGACAAGATCCAATATTAAATACCCGCTCAAGCCATATTTTATTTAAAAATCACCGGAATAATAATAAATCACAAGCTCGAATACATACATATACGAGCGTGAGAGAAAAAATATTACCACCCCGGGTTTTTGATATATTGACGGTCAAATAGCCACAATACAGGAACATTATTCTAGCATCTGATATTTTTAATATTAACATATTAAAATATTATTAAAAAATAAAAAAAAGCCACGTTTCCAAACATGCTCCAACTAGGACTCCTCCCGACTTTTTAATTGTAAAGGGAATAAAGTTATATAAATAAATCACGGTGATAATTAATTCCATAACACCACAAAAAATTAAAAAAAAATTCCCAACAAACTTTGAATACCATAAAAATTATTATTATTATTATTATTATAAGCTTATCTTCTCTTTCTGCAACTAGTATAAAATACGAATTGAAAACCGCCTCCTCACAGTCCTCTCCTCTCCATCACTTTGAAGTTTCTGGGTAAGCACCTAATTTCTCGAAGAACCCTTTTTCATTATCGTGTATCCGCGTTTTGTTTTATTTTATTTTGTGTTCTTCTTTATGTTGGTTGCCATTGCCATTGGATGTCTAATCCTCTAGATTCAAGAATGGTATTTAACTGTTAATTTCTCAGGGGATTCGGAATGGATTCTAGAAATGGGTCAGTATCTGAAACTCCATTGGATGCAGAAATCGAATCATTTTTTGATTCGGCTCCTCCTCTAAAAGACAGTGCTGGGATTATAAAGAAATTGAAGGAATTCATTGAATACAATTCTACTCCACCTGGTAAGAACTAACTCAATTACTTGCACATCTTCATAGATGAATAACCATAATATTAGTGTTTAATTAGACGTTAGTTGTATTGATAGGTCAGTAAATGCAGGAAAGGGGAGTCCTAGAAGGGTTGTGTGTGTGACATCTGGTGGCACCACAGTTCCATTGGAGCAACGTTGCGTCCGTTACATTGATAATTTCAGCTCAGGCCATAGAGGAGCTACTTCTATCGAGTACTCAAATTTTGGAACCTATCAAATAGAGAAGCTCTTTTATACACTCTTCTCAATTGTAATTATTTTATTGCAGATATTTTATCAAGGCTGGGTATGCTGTTATCTTTTTATACAGGAGGTGAATTTCTATGTTTTTATAAAGCTGTGTGTTTGTTGCTCCTTTCTATTGCTACTAAGTTGCTGTTGGGAAGTGAGTAAAGGAAAAAATAAACAATCAAGAACAGGTTTTTATTTTGGATGATATATGGCTTTCTTATGCAGAGGAACTTTCCAGCCTTATTGCCAATCTCTTCCTGAGGATCCGTTACTTGAATGCTTTGAGTGCTCTGATGACTCTACTATTCAAGGTTTGTTACTTTTTTTTCCTGCAAATAAATTGAACTTGCTGATCAGTTGATATATGTCTGTTAGTTTGATGCATTTGACTTGATCATAAATGATTCTTATATGGCCTGACTTAGGCGTGTTGCCTAATTTGTTATGATAGGCTGGCATTCTTTCCATTTCAAAACATTGTATTGGTTGGAGATAACGTGTCCAACATTGATGGTTTAGGAGCTTTGTGGTTGATTCTTCAGATATTATTATTGTGAACTGTTTTTTTATCCTGGAAGATTAGCTATAATCGGCAATATCTTGTTGATTCTGTCATATAATCAAACTGTATCAACAATTGAGGGTTCCATTTATTTAACCAAATTTTCTTTATATTTCAGTGCGCCAACCACACACCGAAGCAGTGAAGAGAGCTGTTAGTGATCATCATGCTGTATGAACTATTAATAACTTACATCCATCGTTCTAGAAATGTCACTCAATTGACCCTGTTTGTTGTATAGTTTGAGGGCAAAACTTTAGCTCACCGTAA